GTCCAAAGAACCCTGTTCTTTCCTGTAATATCTTACTGCAGAAATTTAGAAAGACCCTATAGAGAATCAGGCATGACTTGGGATGGTTGAGGTTTTTTTTGTGTGTGGTGGTCGTAGTTGTTTTGTGCCAGTCCTGGGGCTAGAATTCAGGGTCTGGCTCCTGTCCCTAAGCTTTTTTGCTCAAGGCTAGTGCTCTACTATTTAAACCACAAATCCACTTCTGCCTTTTTGGTGCTTCATTGGAGATAAGAGTCTCATGGACTTTCTTGCCTGGGCTGGCTTCCAACTTCGATCTTCAGATCTCAGCCTACTGGGGAGCTAAGATTACAGGCCTGAGATACAAGCATCTTGCTTGAGATGGGTTCTTTAACTGCAATTCTGTATTTCCTCCTTCTTCTCCACTTCATACATTTCCTTTCCTTCATAGACTTGTTCAACCTACAAGAAGATGACTAGTAATGAGAGCGAGAAATGATACAAACTTTCTCTTTCTGAGATGGGCTTTTACTTCATAGCCCAGGCTGATCTCAAAATCTTGTTCCTCCTGCTTCAGCCTCTTCTCAGGTGCTGGGATTACAGGCGTGACCCATCATGCCTAGCTAAGAACACTGTTTTTAATTGTATTATGAAGTGAAAGGGAGATTGCAAAGGAATAAAATAGCATGGTCAAGGACTGGTGAGCAGTACTTAGAACTTTTCTAAGGGAGAAAGACCTCAATGCTGTCTTGACAGGGAAGTGGCACCTATTTTCATGGGTGGGATCTTTAGCCCTTGATAAAACATCAATTGGCTATAACCCAGGGGCTCTTATTACTGTCAGGGTATTTTATATGCACATTTTAAAATGAGTTCTTCAAAATATATATGTCTTAATGCCTAGAAAGTGATATAAATTTGGGCTGGATTAAGAGCCTTGTTTTTAACAGAATGTTCTGGGCATCTGGGGAGAAAAGGATGGAGATTAGCATCTTGGAGAGATGGCTTTGCCAGGATGGTCCTGACTTGGAATGATGTACTCCTGTGTGTTAAGAGGCTGGGCTCCTGCTTATTGGCTCTGTGTTTCCTGGGGGCGGGGCCACAGCATTGGCTCAGCAGCCCTGGGGATCCTGTGCATTTCTGCCTTTGTTTGAAAGCCTCAGCTGCTTCCTTGGAAGGGGACATCTTCATGTCTCTGACACTTCATGTTTTTTTTTTTATTTTACATGATTCGCTTCTAAGCTATGTTCCCCCCGCCCCAAATAGCTATAGTCCCAATTCTGGAATCTCACCTTGCCAATCAATGTAAGGACTTGATCTGAGAAGGTCTCCTCCCTCTCCCTCCCCCCGAAAGGATCCTGTGCATCTGTGAGTACCTCAGTCTACCAGCACGAAGTCTTTTCCTCGATCACTAAACCATCACGTGGCCTGGAAAGTACTGGTGGCCACAGCATGGCACGTAGATCAGTGATAGCAATGCTGTGTGTGTATGAGACTCCTCAATATGCCTTAGGAGCCCTGTAGGAGACTCTTAGAAGGGGCCCTGGAGCTGGCTGACCCCTCCCCCCCAGATGACTCATTTTCTATCTTTGTGGCCTACTGAACTCACTCAGAGTGGGATCTGCATAGGGTAGAGAGGGCCAATGCTCAGGTCTAATATTTTGGTTGGCTCGAAGTCATGTCACTTTTAACAAATGGATGATATCTGGCAAGGCAGATACACACACAAATAGCAGAGTCCCTTTAAGTCTAGACTTGGTATCGGTGCCTATCTTAGCAAATTTCCAGAGATCCATGTTCATAATCAGATCAGTATTCCCTTCCTGAAGTTTCCTAGTGATCTTTCCTAAATGCTTGACTACGTCATCTCATGATGATCTCCCCACTTCAGAGGAGATTATTCCAGTACAAACCGAAATGGACACCAAGTTCATGCAGAATGGCTGACAGGGTTAGGAAACTCACAAGTGGAGTAGACTGGGTGGAACATGACAGGACAGCGAGCGTTCATGTTGTGCTTTTGGAGTGTAGGGATGGAACAGAGGGTCAAGAGCCTGGAATAAGGGCAGGCCTGTGACTAGGGCCCTGAATAGTTCACCATGTCAGTGCTCAGCCTTTACTGAGAATACATTATAGAGCAACAGAGCTGTGCTCCTATTTATGCCTGGGATTGGGCGGCTTTATTCTATTAATGATGTTTGAACAATTAGTTGTTTGAGGGAGAAAAAACAATGTGTTTTTCACCTCATGTCAAACCCTAAAATCCTTAAAATAGATTTCTGGACAGATTTGTATTGTGGACTTACCTATTATTTAAAAAAATTAATTAAATGAATAAATAAAGTTTTAAAAATCACAGGGAGAGCACTGTATAGTGGTGCACTCCTATAATCCCAGCTACTCAGGGAGCAGACAGGGGGACTGAGAATTCAAGGCCAGATTTGGTGACTCAATGAGATGGTGTCTCCAAAAAAAAACTCTTTTTAAAAGCGGGGTTGTAACACTGGTAAAGCATTTTCAAGCACGCTTGGGTTAATTCTATTCTAGTGCTGAAAAAAAAAGTTAAATCACAGGAAAAAGTGAAATGAATATATGCAATGCATACAGCAGTAAATATTTAAATGAAATGTCCTATATTCTTCACTCAAACTCATTATTTTTGAAAACAAACAACAAGGAAAATGCTTGCCGACTAACTGAGCATGGGTGATAATTGTATAAAAAGGACAAAAATTAAAAAGGTAAAAATAACAGCAGCAAAGAGAAATGGAGTCATTGTGAAATTATTCCTAAGATTCAATACAGAGGACCAAAAATCATTCAAGAGGCTGGGTGCTGGTGGCTCATGCCTGTAATCCTAACTACTCAGGAGGCTGAGATCTGAGGATCACAGTTCAAAGCCAGCCCAGGCATGAAAAGTCTGTGAGACTCTTATCTCCAATAAACCACCAGAAAACTGGAAGTGGCACTATGGCTCAAGTGTTAGAGTGCTAACCTTGAGCTAAAGAGCTGAGGGACAGCGCCCAGGCCCAGAGTTCAAGCCTCATGACCAACCAAAAAAAAAAATCATACAGGAAATATTCACTGAAAGATAAGGGTTGGGTATGTAACTCAGTGGTAGAGTCCTTGCTTAGAAACTGCTAGCAAGAGTACACTTTTTTTCCCTATGAAAATCAGTGAACACTAAGATAACTTACACAAATTGTCATACTTCCCTGGGGAGGCTGTTGCTTTATAAACTTCAGATGGTGGCCATGTGCACCAGTATGTTCCTTTTGACAGATAAGTTGATATTACGAATAAAAGCCTTAAACGCTAGCTGTGCAATTCCTCATTTGGCATATTCTTCCTGAGGAAATATAATCTAAATATAGCCAAAGATAGCTGCTCAAAGATATTCTTAAGACTACTATTTATAGTTTTATAAAAATGGAAATTACCTAAATCTAGAGCATGGAGGAATCCCTCTGCATAAACTATACATTTCATGGGTATGTATTTGATAGAAAATTGGGAAGGATTTAACACTGTGTTGACACATAATTGGTGACAACTTTGCAAATATTTATGTGATGTTGACAGCATGATGTATGCATTTAATCAGATTCTCTGGAAAGAAAGCCACACACACACACACACACACACACACACAGAGGAAACAAGGTTCTGAAATGGCCCATCTTCAAATACTGGGTTTATTAGATTATTTGTTGTTCTTGTTTATATAATTCTGGCTAAAATTGTGGTTGATCATACAGAGGAAGTGGAGCTGGAGGTAAAAGTGAGCAGCTTCTACATAAAGAGAATCAGTACATGCATGAACAAGACTGCTAAAAAAAAAAAAAAGGAATCCAGGGACAAACTCAGAAAGGATCATGAAATGGAGTCTGGAAATGGAATGGTGCATGTTTCTAAAGGAGTAGGAGAGTAGGAAGTCTGTTGTGGAGTAGAGGGAGATAAGGCAGACAAGATGTCCTGAGGCTGGGTGTGGGCAGTCCCAGGAAGTGAGTCACCCACTGTGCGGGCGAAGGGGAGGGCCACAGGAAGTGGGTGTTTAGAGCAAGAAGCCCTTTGTATTTTTATTGGCTGATCTGCCAGCAGTTCATTAGAAGTTAGGAGGTAAGAAGCTGGGGGAGATTGGAGTTGATGTTGTGATCAGTTGAAATGGACAGGAAGGAAACAGATTCCATAGTGCCTGAATGCCAGAAAGACAAAGCAGAAGGCAACACAACAAACACTAAATTCAATACTGGGGCAGCATGCCGAGTGTGCAGGAATAATGGCAGAAACGGTAGGTGCTGATTGGAGCATTACCACTGCCTTTCAGCAGACTGGAAAATGGACAGCCAGGGGTGGTGGTACACCCCTGTAATCCCAGTACTCGAGCGACCGGATCACTAACATGGCAAGTTCAAGGCTGTGGAGATGCTGTTTTGAAAAACAAAAATAAACAGAGGCTTCTCTGAACGTCTTAATGCTTTTCCCATGAGTGGGTCAAAGCATCTCCGTGCACCCCCGTGTTGTCTCTAGGGCTCCTCTCTTCCTCGATGTGCTCTTGAACTGTGTCAGAGGGCCTATGTGGAATGTCTTCAAGCCTGTGCTTTGTGATCCTCTGGGTGGGCTGAGGGATTGAGTGGTAAGGACGATTTTCCTCAGTAAAGTTTTGTACTGAGTCTCCTTAGTCTACAAAGGTTAAGAGGGAGCTAACAACCAAACAAAGAAAATAAAGGTATTCATCATTATTTTGTTTTCTCTGCCAAACACTTTATTGTAGAGTTCTCCTAGGGATCATTCACAGCTGAGCATTTATCTCTGGAATGGGACCTTCATCCTTTTAGAATCAGACTGAAACACTCTTCCCTCTATGTACTTCTGTAAAGATCACGAAGCAGACCAAAGCAAAAGCAAGCAGATACAGGGATGGACTCTGTATCCACCACTTGGGAGAGTCCTGCTGTCAATCAGGAAAAAGTCCAGGCCAGCTCCTGTCTGCCTGTGTAACACCCTGGTCTTGTTTCCCTTAGGTGCCTATCCTCGGCTCTCCCTGAGTTTTCGGTTGAAGAGGAACATTGGCTACTTCATCCTCCAGACTTACATGCCTTCCATACTGATTACCATTCTCTCCTGGGTGTCCTTCTGGATCAACTACGACGCCTCAGCCGCAAGAGTCGCCCTGGGTACGTGCTTGCTGCTCAGTGATTTCTAAGATGGAAAGTGACCGTGTCATTACAGCATTAAGGGAATTGAAAAGCAAATAGTTCGACTCCCATTTCTGGACATCATGACACCAGCCCTTGCCCACAGAGTCCCTTTTCTGTCTCAGGATGCTAATTTCATGCACGACTCCCTTGATGTGTTAATTTAATTATAAGGCTCCGATGTGAATTTTCATGCCCATGAAAGGGAGGGAAAAAAATTTATGCTTGTAGACTATTTGCCTAGTAAAACTATTTTTGACACTCATTTTGAAAACAAGGATTAACATCCTCCTGCCCAAAATTATTCCATAGCCCAGAAAGAATTATTAATTGTGCGTTCTCCTTTTTAAAAAAAAAAAGCTAGAAAAAAATTAGTCAAATATTACAGCCTATAATTGGAATTATACAATTTGTTGAGCATTAACATATGCAATTAATTCTAAGTCATTCCCCAGGGGTCTTAGTGATCCTGCTGACCATTGACAATTATTAGATTACTAACTGGTGTATAATATATCTTATAAGTTCTGATATTGCTTCTAATATGTTAGTATTTGAAGAAGGCTCATAATGTCCAAAACATTCTCGGCTATTATGAAATTTCATTGACCAAATAATTATTTGAACATATTTTTGTAGAAGTACTGAGCCTGATGAGCTATTATCAGGACCTTCTCTGTTTGGCTAGGATTGAATTTAATTCCTGACAGTGAAGTTAGCAGTGGAACTTATATAAACTGATGGAAAGAAATGATCAGCACACATCCTGGTAGGTTAGGCTGCACGAAGTCAGAACTTCCCGTGCCAGTCACCCCCTTCCTTCCCTCCTTTCTTGTGTACCCAACTTTCCCTAGACTGAAGGCTGATTTCCTTTGCAATGGTAAGAGAAATTTCTATGTGAATGCATGGGTTAGATCCACAATTCTGGAACTTTAACATCTATCTTCAAGATTTGGTTATTTCTCAGCTATAACACATAACTGTAGCTTGAGGAAAAAAAATTCAGGCAGCTATTCCTAAAGATGAATTTTAAAAAGCACATAAGGCTGAGAATGACCACTTGTTTGTCTTTCTAATGAATTCAATAAGCAAAATTCTCTCTCCCTCTCCGTCTCCTTATTCTCTGTCTTGTGTGCCAGTCCTAGGGCTTGGACTCGGGGTCTGAACACTGTCTGTGAGCTTTTATGCTCAAGGCTAATGCTCTACTACTTGGACCACAGCTCCACTTCCAGTATTGGGGTGTTTAATTGACAACAAGAGTCTCATGAACTTTCTTGCCTGGGCTGGCTTCGAAACATGATCCTCATATCTCAGCCTACTGAGTAGCCAGGACTACAGGCATGAGCCACTGGTGCCTGGCCAAAAATTATCTTCTAAAACATATCAAGATGTCAAACCATTATCCCCTCTCCTATTATCCAGGCTTGGTGGATTCTGTTTCTGATAGAACTGGCTTTCTCTTTCTTGCACTCTTTTCTTTTGATTGTGTAGACACAGATCCAGATTTTGTAGAGCTTGTTAGCTTACAAAGCTGCAAGTGCTGTCTTTCAGATAAGTAGTATGAAAATAGGAAATCACTGGGGACATGCTGGAGCCTGGAGAAAGCCTTCATAGCCCAGAGAGCTGTAGCCAAAACTTCAAGAGCTTCTGAACGTGGAAAATGTGTCCTTGTGGTCCTCAGTACAGAAGCATGTGCGCCCCAGGACTGGAATGATCTGGCATCACAAAGAGTGTTTTCCAACTATCACAAATTCTGTGCCTCCTCCATTGAAAACTTCCTCTTTCACGATGCAAAGTGTGTTCAAGCAAACCCAACCTCACTATATATATATATATATATATATATATATATATATAGTATATGTTATATATTATATGTTATCTATAATATATGTATATATAGTTTATTATATATTGTATATAGAATATATGTTCTATAGGATACTATAAGATAGAATATATAACGTTATTATATATTAATATATAGAATATATTACATGATAATATATTATAAATATTAATATAGTATTAATCTGTTACAAATTCTATTATGTATAGAATACATAATTATATATAACATCCAATAAGAGTATATTATATATACCATTTTACTACATATACTATTATTATATATTATATATACTAATATATTATACACATAAAGGTCTTATCCCCACAGCATTATTATTATTGTTTATCTCAGGCTCACATCTCAGAGGCTTTGTTAGCTCAAGCTTTCCCCTGGAAGGCTGTTGGGTTCAGAGACCTGGGAAGCAGGTGTGAGGTCACAAGGGAGGCACTATATACAAGTCCCAGGTAAAGGAACTTTCTAGCAGACAGCCCTGGGGTCTGCCTCTTGGGAAGTCCCCTAGTCTCTGCTGTCAGAGTCCCAGTAGGATGCTTATGCCTTCCGGTCAATATGAGATCTATCTCTGAGTCCGAGTTAGCGGGGTATTGGGAAATCTCTCCGGTATTAACTCATTGATCAAGGAGAAATATTTATAAGGTCGTGAATGTATTCATAAGGTGCTGAATACGGAAAGTATGGAAACAGGAACCTTCAAGATGAGGCCGAAACTTTTCCAGTCCATATGAGCCCCAGTCCTCGGCTTGGGCCAGGGATGTGACTGTACATTCTGCAGAAGACCACTGTGCAAAGACAGGGGAATGAGGCAGAACACCCTGGGTAATGGGTGGTAAGCTACCGGATGCCAGAAGAATGATTTCAGCACAGGTAGTCTCTATCCGGGGCCTTCCCCGTTACCTCATCCAAATACAATCAGTCTTCCCAGTGTCCCTTGCTGCAGCTTGAGCTGTCTGTGGCCTACTGGGGTCCAGAAGTGTTTAATGGAAAACTCCAGAAACACACAATTCATGCTGTAAATAATCTTTCTTACAAACTGTTATTCTAACTGTTCTGGTTTAGTTATTGATGATAATCTCTCAATGTAGGTAGTCTAGAAATTAAACATGATCACAGGTATCTGTGTACAGGGGGAAAAAACAACAAGCAGAATTCAGTGTTATCCATGACTACAGGTATTTGCTATGGGTTTTGGATATAGTTCTGTGGATGCTGGAGACTCCTTCCTAAATTGTCAATATATACTGCATAGAAATTATTCAGTCTACTTGCATTGTAAGAATCAAACATGTATTTAAAAAGAGAACGAGAAAAAAGCAAACATTATTGTTAGGTATTATTAAGTATTATTATTGAGTAATAAGTATTGTTATTGAGTAATAATAATATTGGGCTGGGAATGTGGCTTAGTGGTACAGTGCTTGCTTAGCATGCATGAAGCCCTGGGTTTGATTCAAGGCCAGAAGTGGTTCTGTGGCTTAACTAGTAGAGTGCTAGCCTTGGGCAAAAGAAGCTCAGGGACAGTGCTCTGGCACTAAGTTTAAAGCCCCAGAACTGGCAAAAAAATATTATTATTAACTATTATTAATGAGTTTTGTTAATGAGTAATAATAAGAAGAACTATTATTAATACTAGTGCTCTCCAGGAAGATATGGCTGTGGGTAGAAGGGCTTTGATTAGAGACATACTCTTGTCTCCTTTCATCCCCAAACTTTTCATGATTATGGCCTGAGAAAGACTCTGAAGACTGTCTGTACATGTCTCAGAGAGTTGCACTGTGGTAACTACACCTCCTTTCAAAAAGAGGTCCTGGTAGTGCAGCGTCTACAGAGACTTACCACCACACTTCACAGAGTTAACGTCATAAACGTCAGCACACGGAGGAGCCTAGAGTTGAGGGAGGAGAGTAGACTGGTTATGCTGGATTTCTACTGTGCTCATCCGCTCAAGAGGTATCAGAATGTTACACCTCTCTGCTCAGGGGCCACTGAGCTATCAGAGATGCCAGCCACCCAACCACAAAGTGGGACACTGAATTTTGTGGTCATCTTCAAAACCATCCCTACAAAATAATGGTAATGATGATGATAATAACAACATCATATATAATAATATCATAACTTGAGGGGTCAGCTGGGGCTGGGAGAGATGGGGAAAGATGATGGAAAGGAGTGACACTGATCAAGATGCGTTGTCCTCACAAACTGACGTGTTGAATTGAAGCCCCTTTGTACAGCTTCTTAAAGATCATTCTTTAAAAAACACTATAGAGTGAAAGCATATACGGCTATCATCTAAACTACATTATTTGGATCGATCAGAAGGAAAAGGAAGATTTTTTTTTTACTTCACGATCATCTTTCTATCTGCAGATTTTTGAAAAAGAAATTATTTCATTACCATAATCTCCATGAAAAAAATAAGTGAAAGCTTATAATTAGTCAGAAATTATAGAACATAACAGGCACAACCACCCAGCTACCTCTTATATCCCAGTGAGAAGTCCACTTAGAAGTTCAAGGTTAAGGACAGAGAATCTAATGGCTTCAATTCAAGGCCTGGTTGCTGTCCCTGAGCTATTTGGCTCGAGGCTGGCACTTTATGACTTTGAGCCACAGCTTCACTTCCAGTTTTCTGGTGATTTATTGGAGATAAGAATCTCATGGACTTTCCTGCCTAAGCTAACTTGGAACCGTGATCCTCAGATCTCAGCCTCTTGAGTAGTTAGGATGACAGGTGTGAGCTGCCAGCACTGGCAACTACTCTCTATTTATTGGCACATCACTGATGGCTTTAGATGTAATCTTTAGACTTCTCAAGGTAGTAGATAAAGGCCGCAATGGGCTGTGGGTCTGAGCCATGTGACTCCACCATGCGAGCTGTGTGCTTCCAAAAGGGTCCCGGAGAGGAGTTGAAATGGCAGGAAGAATACACAAATGCATGTGAGCTAAGAGCTCATATCGATCGACCCAATCGAAAAGACTAGAGTCCTATGGGAGACCATTTTTCCCCTTGCTGTGACACTCTACCAATGCTGGGTGTGGTATAAAGAAAAGGGTGTGATGTACCTCACAGTTCTGTCAAGGTTAAGAACATGGCACCAACAGCTGCTTGGCTCTGATGAAGTCCATGGTAGAAGGCAATGTGTACGTATGTGAGAGACAGAAACTGTTCATCAGACCAAACGGAGATCCCAACCATGATCTAGGTCACTCACACCACACGAAGAACAGGTGACATCCTCATCCTCACATTTACAGCTCAATTCCTGGGGTTGTCCACGGAGGCCTGTTATACCCAGGCCCATTCAAGTCAACCAGCTTGGAGAGGTGAAGAAATGAGCAGAGCAAAATCAAAGCATTTGTGCTCCACAAATCTACTTGGAAAGGAGAAAGATAGTAGTGGCAGCAACTTTGCAAAAAAAAAAAAGGTTTGAATAATGGCAAGAATGCCTAATTTGGTAGCATTTGCATGGTGTTTTCCCATTTATTTGTAAACTGTAATTATCCCATTGCCATGTTCAAATTTTAAAAAGTCCCCAGGTGCACATGAATGTGATGTTAAAGGAGACACTTAAAATACTCCAGCATCTTAGATTTCCATCCACTCTATAAGCAATCGTGGTTTGCAGCTAGACATAAAAATAGGTTCTCTGGCTCTTCTAGTGCTTGGCTGTTAGTAGCAGTTCAGAGCTCGGGGGAGGAAGAGAGCGTGTGTTGGAGAAAAAACCTTGACTCTCTTCCCTCCCTCCCTCCCTCCTTTGCCTGCTCATCCCAGGCCAGCTGAGCCCTAGAGTCTTGAAATCCTCCCTGGGGGACACACAATGTCAGGAAGCATGCATCTGAGGATGGGTAGAGGTCAAGAGAAGTGTAAACTGAGATGTTTAATGAACATTGAGCAAGGAGGGCATGAATAAAGTAGTCTGACTGTCCTCCAGAACTTTCTTGGGAGTGTTGGCCTGTTGAGGTGGCATTGCTTCTTGGAGTCCATTTCACATTCGTTTCTTGAAATGGCAGTTTAGGGGGCTGGGAAGGTGGCTCAGTGGTAGAGTGCTTGCCTTGCATGCATGAGGCCCTGGGTTTGATTTCTCAGCACCACATAAGCAGAAAAAGCCGGAAGGGGTTCTGTGGCTCAAGTGGTAGAGTGCTAGCCTTGAGCTGAGGGACAGCGCCTAGGCCCAGAGTTCAAGCCCCACAACAGAAAGCAAGCAAGCAAGCAAAGAAGGAAGGAAGGAAGGAAGGAAGGAAGGAAGGAAGGAAGGGCAGTTTAGAAAGCTCTTCTGCCTTTTCCCTAATTCAGGGACATCTGAGGATGAGTAGGAAAAGGGCTGGCATGCTTCTTGGATGTGTGTGTGTGTGTGTGTGTGTGTGTGTGTGTGTGTGAGAGAGAGAGAGAGAGAGAAAGAGAGAGAGAGAGTAGTCCTGGGCTTGAGCTCAGGACCTGGGCTCTATCCTTGCACTTTTTTTTCTTTTGCTTAAGGCTAGCACTCTCCCAGTTTGAGCCATAGCTCTACTTCTGCCCATTTTTGCTGGTTAGTTGGAATAAAAGTATCTCATAGACTTTCCTGCCTGGGATTGGCTTCAAACTGTGATCCTCAGACCTTGGTCTCCTGAGTCAACTGGGTTGGACTGCAACCTTAGAGTCTCCAAGGCAATACATGAGCTGTTGCGTTTCCTCTCCCACTAAGAAGTAAGAGACCCACATGTTTTCTGCAGGCATAGCTTCGCACATTTCAACAAACCAAGCGACCCTTGATCGCCATGGCCTCAAATTACCCAGTGCAGAATCTTTGTATGGAAAGAAATTGTGGGACAAATGGCATGTGTGTGTGTGTGGAGGGGGGGGGTCCTTGTGTGGTTTTAAGGACTCAACTGAGCTTTACTTGGGAGGTAGTGAGGTTATTCTCATAGAATTATATAAGAAATTCAACAAAATGACAAAAACAAATGATCTGCTCACTGGCCCCAGAATGCAGTGCAGTTCAATCCAAGGGAAAGCATTGCTTCACCACAGATATTTCCTGACCACCTTCCTCACTGAGGAGAGAAAAACAAAAATCTCTCTGCAAGGTGATCTTCCCTCAGGAGTACTGCTCCCCCTTTAGCTCAGACCCAGACATCCTGTCCCCTTATACCATTTCAAACACCATGGCTGCCATCCATGAGCTTCTACTCTGCCTGGTAGAAGAAATGACTTTCCTTCTGTCTTCTTCTGATGAGGGCCAGGGATATCTCAAGGATCTTTTTCCTTCATGGCTCCACTTCTCCAGCTTTTTGTACATAGGCTCTCCAAGAACTACTGGAGTCACAATGACAGACGTGAAAATGCATAATTGTCTCAGCAAGGCAAAATTTCCTCCTGCATGAAAGGGTGTGGCCTCAGCCAAAAATCGGGCCAGCAAGCCAGGCTGCTCCAATATGTATCCCTACTCCAGCAGGCCCCGCCCCCCCTCTGCTCCAATTGGTTGAGCTCAGGCTCCCCACTTGCTCACGATTGGCTAGTTTGAAGAAGGTAAAGGTGTATTTACATAAAGGTCGTTTTGAAATAAGATTAACTTACACAAATAATTTCAACATGCACCCCACAAACCTTTGCTATTTCTTGAACAGTCTGGGGCTTGTGGTAATTCCATCTTGAAAAGTAATCAGTTTAAGACAAGAACTTTACGTTTCAAAAGATGCTCTCTTATCCTAAAAGCAGTTTCTTTTCTCCTAAGAAGAGCTAAGCCACCAGGCCAAAGTAAGAACTTTTTAATAACACATTGTGATAGGAAAGACAGTTTTTTTCTCATATGCTTTAGACCACCTCAAATCTGCAGCTTTGCATCCAGATAACTTAGTACTTCCCATTAAATTCTGGGCTTCTTTAGATTCCTTTCCCAGTGATGGGGTTTGAACTCAGAGCCTGGGCACTGTGCCTGATCTCTTTATGCTCAAGGGTAGCACTCTAACACTTTGAGCCATAGCTTCACTTCCTGTTTTCTGGTGGCTCACTGGACTTTTCTTGCCCCAGGGCTGGCTTTGAACCACGAACCTCAGATCTCAGCTTCCTGAGTAGTTAGGATGATAGGCGTGAGCCACCGGCACCTGGCTAGATGTCTTTCATAGTTACAAGGAGTATGAACTATCTAGCTGCTTTGTGTGTGTTTCTCTCCCACCCAGTCTCTAAACTCCATTTCGTCTGCTGGTAGAAAGACGATGTGGAAGAAGATTGAGGTGCTGTGCTCTCATGGGCTGAGTTGCTCAGAGAACTGTTGCATCTTACTGCTTGAAGCCGGATACAGCAGGAGGGTGAAGAATGCAAAGACAGGCAGTGGAGTCACCAGGCTCAACCACTCCCCTTTTCTCTCCTAGGGATCACCACCGTGTTGACCATGACAACCATCAACACCCACCTTCGAGAGACTCTGCCCAAAATCCCCTACGTCAAAGCCATCGACATGTACCTGATGGGCTGCTTCGTCTTCGTGTTCCTGGCCCTCCTGGAGTACGCCTTTGTCAACTACATCTTCTTTGGAAGAGGCCCTCAGAGGCAGAAGAAACTGGCAGAGAAGACGGCCAAGGCGAAGAACGACCGTTCTAAGAGCGAAGGCAATCGGGTAAGGCCCTCCATGGCCTGGACCCCACTCTGCTTCTGCCAAGTATCAGTCACCTTGTCACCTGTATGGCCTGTCAACTGACGGGCGTTTGTTGGGAGAGAGTTGGGGGGTGGGGTGGGGGATTGCTGATGATATCTAAATGATGATATTCTAAAATATTCCTGTGCAAAGCTGAGGGGCTTCCTTCGAGCCTAAAATGAATGGGGTGTGTGATTTCAGAACTAATAAATTCATACTTCCTTATGTCTGAACATGACAGGCGTAAGGAAGCCTATGAATTCATTAGCTCTGGAATTTGAACCCAAGGTCTTGTATTTGCTAGGCAAACATTTTTAGTGGAGTCCCATTCCTAGCCCTTTTGACATTTTATTCTTGGGATAAAAATCTCCCTACCGGGGCTGGGAAGGTAGCTCAGTGGTAGAGCACTTGCCTTGCATGCCTGAGGCCCTGGGTTCGATTCCTCAGCACCATATAAGCAAAAAGAAAAAAGCCAGAAGTGGCGCTGTGGCTCAAGTGGTAGAGTGCTAGCCTTGAGCTGAAGAGCTGAGGGACAGCGCCCAGGCCCAGAGCTCAGGCCCCATAACCGGACCCCCCCAAAAAAATCTCCCTACCTTCCCCCATGGAACCTGTTGGCCTTCCAGTCCTCTGCCTTCATAGTAGCTGGGATTATGGGAGTTGCATCTTCATACCTGGCAATAGGGAAGACTTTTGTTCCCAAATGAATGAATAATCCTTTAGTTGTAGAGTTGCCCATTTCCATCCCTTAAGCCTGCTGTCATTCTAAGCAAGGAAGAGTAGGCACACACGTCAGCCGGTCTGCCTTGCTGCTTGCTGGCTGCTAGCCATCTCCCTGTGGGCAAAATCCAAAGTGGGAAGATATGAGCAAGCTGGGTAGGTGTGTAGTCAGGAGAACTGATCTGACGGCCCTGAGGCGGGCCCTCATCTCTCCTGTGTGTGCTCTAGACGTTCACAGGTTGTACGTGTGCCTTTTGGGTTTGGTTTTGTAATTTAATTTGTTATTATTATTTTGATGTTCAACTAGTTGTACAGTGGGGTTTCCACTCAACAAGCCAATCTGGGAGTACAGTGTGCCTTGATCAGTGTTGTTACCCTTACCCTTCTTCTTCCTCTCTCCTAACCCCACCCATCCCCTGAATTTTCCTGGCTCCATTTTCACATAGGGACCTTGATTATTATGACTATGATCGTCCACCCTTATCCTCTCCATTTATCTACTCTTCTGCCCTTGAACTCAGCCCCCTGTCACACTTCAGATTCCAGTTTCATTTTGTTGAGAGAGTTGTTGAAAGGAGTTGATATCTTCGGAATCCTGTATTAAACCGTACTTGAATATACTCAGTGCATGTATGCAGATGATCCTGGGCTTTGTTACCTACATATTTGTAAGTTAGATCTAACTTCCATATAAACATGTGACCCTTTCTTAACAACAAAGAAAAAAGTAAGTGGTGGCTCACGCCTATATTCCTACCTACTCAGGAGGCTGGGATCTGAAGATTGTGGTTCGAAGCCAGCTTAGGCAGGGAAGTTGGTGAGACTTTTATCTCCAGTTAATCACCCCCAAACTAGAAAGGGTGCTGTGGCTCAAGTAGGAGAGCACTAGCCTTGAGCAAAAGAAAAAGCACAGGGACAGCACCCAGGCCCTGGGTTCAGGCTCCAGGACCAGCATACCCCCCCCCAAAGAAAAAAAGTTCTTGTTAAATCTACTTACTTCCAATCCCGAGGAGAGCTGTCTTTGCTGTTACCCATGCCATTCCTGCTATGTGTCTTCCCTGAACAGGGAAACCATATCTCCTTGGACAACCCCTGTGTCCAAGGCAACTGAGCCTTTAGCACCCACAAATGGATGCAGGCAGACATGTTTAAATGAATGTGTACATGGCGCCCTTCTATTCAGCAAAGTGTGACTCAAACTGGTCAGAAAAATCAGAACTTTGCGAATAAAGCCAGGCTTTCCACAAGCAAAATAATCTTAAATTTTCATACTTGGGGAATAGACTCGGGGCCATACTGTTACATTTCTAAGGAGGCCCGTGTCCTGCTATAAATACACAATATGCCTTGGCCGGGTTGTTTCCATGGAAACTGGAATTCATCACATCATTACTGTTTCCATGACAGAAGCACTCAAACACACGCGCGTGCGTGCACACACACACACACACACACACACACACACGGACTATTGTGTCTTTCCAGACTTATTTCTTCTGTATTTAACCAAATCATAAATTTTATTTCTTTTCTTCTAAATGAGACTCTTGAGAGGAAATTGTTGGGCTACAGAAATACCTTTCTGAGTGAGACACATACAATTTAAAACAAAACTGAGAAAAATCCTGGTGTCATACACCAAGACAATTAGCAGGATGCACAGAGAATATGTTATAAATTGGATCCAGAGTAGATTTTTTAACTTGATTCAGGAGTCCATTTTTATTGTTTCTTTACCCAAAAACTTTGCTTCTCACTTTGTCTAGCAGGCCTAATGAAGCTTTCACATGTTCATATTGTTCAAATGCTAGAACTACGGATCAGTGATTTATATCAGAAAATAACCCAAAAATGCATGTATTCAGATTAAGAAAGATAAACATCAAAAAAGTGTTCCTCACTTAAGAATTTAGGATTTGTTTATTGGTGCTAGTACTGTGGCTTGAACTCAGATCTTCCTGTTGTCCTTTAGGTTTTTATTGTTGTTTTTGTTTAAAGCTAATGCTTTACTACTTGCACCATACTTTTCATTTCTGGATTTCTGCTGATTAATTGGAGATTAAAGAGTCTCATGGACTTTGGATCATAACCCTCAGATCTCAGCCTCTTGAATAGCTAGGATTACAGGTTTGGACTTCTAGTGCCCAGTTTAGGAACAATTTTTAAATAGAACTTAACCTCCCAAAGAGTTTACATCAAGTAACAGAAATACAAGAGTAGAGAAAAAAATCACAAATTTTATACCAAACAGAATGGCACCGTATACACACACATTTAACAGTCCTTAACAAATAATATTTACTTGTTAATTTTAGTGATAACATTGTGTGTGTGTGTGTGTGTGAGTGCACACACACACACACACACATGCACGCCAACCTGGGACTTGAATTCAGAAAATGGTTGTTGTCCATGAGCTTTTTATCTCAAGACTAGCACCCCACCACTTGAAACACAGCTTCACTTCTGGCTTTTTGATGGTTAATTGGACACAAGAGTCTCACAGACTTTCCTACCTGGGCTGGTTTCAAACTGCATTCCTCAGATCTCAGCCTCCTGAGTAACTAGGATTACAGGTGTGAACCATGAATATGTATACATAGTAAAGAACAAGATTCCATCCCTGGCATGATAAATCCTTTAATTTTCTTCTGAAGGTAGAATTTTACTTAAGTAGAAGCTGGAAGGTCAGTAAAGAATGAATGTGCCAGTCTGGTGATATATTGTAGGATAAAGGCCAAATCCCTCTGCAGTATATTGTAGATGGGGTGGTTTTAGTTTTTGAGGGATGGAACCTGTCAAGGCTATAGAGTTGGAAGAAAAACTACATCAAAATCAGTAATTCTAATTATAGTAGATATGAGATAGGCCCTTCAAAATAATGAGTATTCATGAAATCATTTAAAAATCGCAAGTCATCTGTCAGTCTATAAAGGGCATTTCGGCTTTCTATTTCATCCACAAGCACTTATTTATATTTTAAGACTTACATTCTAAACAGTAAAAAAAAAACCAAAGTTCGCATCTCTTTTGGAAATATTTATTTAAAATATTTTGTTACTAAGATTTAACCGATTTAATAACCTTTTCATCCTCCCAGAAGAAAAAAAAATCTCTTAGTAATTTTGAGGTGAATTTTCTACATAGTGGTTCATATTTTATAAATGAAATCCATGTCAAAGTAAAATTATAAGTCAAGCCGTCCAACTAGCAGGGCACCAGTGTAGCTCATGCCTAGAATCTTAACTCCTTAGGAGCCTGAGACATGGAAGATCAAAGTTTGAAGCCAGTTAGAGCAGCAAAGTCCATGAGACTCTATTTCCAAAAGCAGCAAAAAGCTAGCCTATAGAGGCTTTGTTCTAGTGGTAAGAATACCACCTGTGAGCAAGAAAGCTGAGTGAGTACAAGATCCTGAGTTCTGGTGGTCAAACTATTTTACACTAAGATCTTTTTTTTCGTTTATTTGTTTTTGTTGTTCGTGGGGCTTGAATTCAGGGCATGGGTTCTGTCCTTGAGCATTTTTCACTCCAGGCTAGTGCTCTACCACTTTGAACCACCACACCACTTCCGGTTTTCTGTTGGTTAATTGGAGATGAGTCTCATGGACTTTCCTTCTAAGGCTGGCTTCGAACCATGATCCTCAGATCTCAGCCTCCTGAGTAGCTAAGATTACAAGTGTGAGTCCAACTTACACTAAGATCTTAATGCAACATGCATGGACTTGAGTTCCTTCGCACACTAGAAACTAGTAGTATCTGAATACTTACTTCCATGCAAAGTGTTCACCCACTCTGAAATGGAGTATGTCAAATTGCATTGGTTCTTCAGCCTGCCTTCAGACACTCTGTGACCTGACACAGCTCTCAGGGAATCATAAATGTCCACAGCACCCAAAAGCCCTGTACATTATGCGTACTGTTAGTGGCATTCGTTCAAAAATAGCTTTTGACCTCCCTCCAGCTATGCTTCATTCACTGGAGTTCAGAGACACTCACCGAGATTCCCACTTTCATGAGGTTCATCCCCCAAACTGATCATGGTAGCTACAAGGTATTTGGGAAAACAGAAAATCCATTCACACCAAGTTGTTACTCAGGCTTGAAAACTCAACGTTCAATTGGCCTCATTTCTTGGGTCTCCTCTTGGCCGCATTCCCCAAATCACCCTATGTGATTGGTTTTTCCCTCTGCCTTCCCATTCTCCTATCTCCTTTACCTAGATGTCACTACTTTTGGGGTCCATGTGCTTTCCTTCAAGACTAAGGCAGATACCCTTCCAGGACCTTTTCCTTATGCTTCTTCCTCCCCCTTGTTTACAACTTGCATTTGATCACTTCCTGCTTCCAAGAGTTGACAGAAAAGGGACCTTCTCTGAACTTGCAAGTTGGCAGATGGCTCACACTCCATGTGCATCCATCAATCTTAGCCACCAGGTAGCATCCGCTTTCTTGTTCTGCTGAGATCTTTGTACAAAAGCCTGAGTGGATCCTAGATGCCGGCAGTTCTGCCTGAGTGCCCGCCATGCTGGAGTTTGGAGCCATCTTATCTGGGGTCCTTGCCCCTGCTCAGTTCCACATGGGCCTCTTCCTTTTACCAGTAATGTGTCAAGATCCCTGTCTGTCCACTTTGCTAGATCCTCTTCTAGATGAATGCCTTTTACGACCTCAGAGGGCATTCCAAAGTTGGGAAGATTCAAATTGCTATATGGATAAAGTATTCCTTCACAAAATGACTAGGAGGTCTTGGAGAAAGCCATAGACCTGTAGCTTACTGCAACAGAAAGGACAGGCTTGCAGAGACAGAGAAAGGACAGAGACACAGCCTTCAGACACAGTTGTAGAAGGCAGAAGGGAATACATAGAACGTGCTAGAAGGAATGCCCAATGGATGATGAAATGGGCCCCAGGGCCATGGCTGCTCCTAGAAAACAGCTACAGTCTCATCCTAGAGAAAGACGCTACCTGCAACCCCCAGATCCAGGGGGTTCTGTGGATAATTCCATGGAAATGGACTGTCCACAGACCATTTATGATTTGAAGCTGTGTAAAGCACAGCACAAAAATGTTAGCATTTTTGCTGGGTGCCCTGGCTCACAACTATAATCCTAGATATTCAGGAGGCTGAGATCTGAGGTTTGTAGTTCGAAGCTAGCCCAGGCAGGAGAGTCCATGAGACTCTTATCTCCAGTGAACTACTCAGAAAAAGCCAGAATTGGCACTGTGGCTCAAGTGGTATAGTGCTCTCCTTGAACACAAAGAGGCTCAGGGACAGCATCTAGGCCCTGAGTTCAAGCCCCAAGTGCAGCAGAAAAAATTTATAAAGTTTGACATATCCTTTTATAAAGTTGACTCTGGTTATTTTAAATACAGCTTTTATAAAAAAAAAAAAAGAAGAAGAAGAAGCTTCCTGCCAGTTCCAGGATTGGAAGAGGAGACACTACTTGAGTGTGTGCGCAGTTGGGGAGTGGGGGTGGAGGGGTCTTTAGTCTATTAAAGTCATCAGCAATGTCCTCTGATCACAGAACCATTCATTGTCTTCTCCATCGTGATTTGATAAGTGTTTCAGCCCCAGAAAAGAGACAAGCCAACTAAGGTGTTGTCCCTGACAGTACAGAATAATCACATCTTATTGTAGAAGGTCCCTAGTACACCCTGAAACCATGATTAGTACTGAAGGCTAGTCTTTAATGTGCTTTCCAAATACACACACACACACACACACACACACACACACACACACACACACACACACTGAAGGTTTAATTTACAGCTGAAGCACAGGAAGAGATTAACGAGAAGAAATCATACCGTGACTATACTAACATGCTCTAATAAAAGCAATGGAACTATGGATGCTCTCTCAAAATACTTTGGGAATCATATCCATCTTCTTTCTCTAAGGATGATGTTAAACCTATACAATGCTCATAGGACGTGAGCCAAGCTAGGCTAGTGATGTTGACTTTTCAGTACTATTTCAGGATTACTGAAATAATGGAAGGCTGTCGTAATGAGAAATAGCTAGAACTTAGCATCGTCAATAGTGTCGGAGCTTTAATTTTCTCTTCAGGAAGGCCTTGTGTCTTGTCATGTGGAATTTCAGTTTTCCAACCAGTTCCCCTTTCCTTGAGAGCCTCTTTAAACCAAGGAAATAATATCTCTAAAGCTGCAGCTAAATCTTCCCAAGGCTTTTTTTCTTTCTCCTTTCAATAAAATGAGATACTGGGTTGGATAGATGTCTTTATGACAGGCCCTCCTTCTGTCTCGGATTTGCATATGGAAATGAGATCTCTGGACATGCGCATTGTCTCACCAGAGTACCTTTTCTTCCACCACCACCCCATCCCTATTAGGTGGACGCCCATGGAAATATCCTGTTAACATCACTGGAGGTTCACAACGAAGTGAACGAGGTCGCTGGTGGAGTGGGTGACACCAGGAATTCAGCAATATCCTTTGACAACTCAGGAATCCAGTACAGGAAACAGAGCATGCCCAGGGAAGGGCACGGGAGGTACCTGGGAGACAGGAGCACCCAGCACAAGAAGACACACTTACGGAGAAGGTCTTCGCAGCTCAAAATCAAAATCCCTGATCTCACCGATGTGAATGCCATTGACAGATGGTCCCGGATCGTGTTTCCATTCACGTTTTCTCTCTTCAACTTAGTTTACTGGCTGTACTACGTTAACTGAGTGACTGTACTTGATTTTTCAAAGACTTCATTTAACACTGAGTGAAATATTACCCCCTGCCTGTCAAGTTTTTATACCTGTACACACACACACACGTACACACACACACACATACGCAGACACACACACACACATATATACATACGCAATTGTATATATATGTGAACTTTCTCAGCATATATATAAAATACACGTGTATATGAGAATGTATGTGTATATGTTTATACACGCGGGTCTGGAGACTCGTGTGTATGTGAAACAAATACACATACATATATAACATTTTGCAGCTAAGGACAATTTAACATGGGATTGCATATTAAAGAAAGTCATAGTTTTTCTCTTTTTCTTTTTTTTTCTAATTGAAAGGGACAAGTATCATCTAAATATTTCTACCTTGAGAATGAGGGCGTGAAACAACCATCCCATCCCAGAAGTGTGTCTTTTCTTAATCCTAAGTTAGACGTTTTAGTTTTGAAAACAAAATAATACCAGAACGAAACTTCTCAGTTTGATGTTCCGAAATTCATACAGTGGTCTTTGCTAGTTTCAAAAGAATCACGCCAACTTCATACCCTCCTCTTTTTTGCTGACCAAAGGCTGGTTGGCTTTTACTGGTACTGGATTAGACTCTTTCCATAATGGTTTAGCACACACGTACCTGTGGTTTTAAGCATAGATAAAGCCCACATTGGTGTGTGAAACTCCATGAGGAGTGAATGGCACCCCACTGTAAGTACTTTTCAGTATTGGTATGTCCAGGGGGCGGGGATTTTGTTCAATGGAGTGGACCCAGCTTAACTGTCCTGTGGGAACGTTCAATCACTGGAAAAGTGCTCCAGGCCTGCCTATGTCTCAGGTTCTTTGTTATCCTAAGGTAAAACCATCAAGAGGATGAATCCCCAGCCCCCCAGCCCCTTGCAGTTACGTTCTCATTCTTACAACATTGTATGTTAAGATGAAAAAATATATATATATTTGCATAATATGCCTACACATGTATATTTACCGAGATTTCTGTTTTCTTATGCTTGCTCTCATGGCAGCATGCAAATGTCATATTTCTTTGGGTTATGTGATGTAACCGCTTTCTGTTATCTAGAAACTAAGCCGGAATCTACAGCACTTCTAAATGTTCGCTTTCAGAGACTAAGCAACATCCTCATGCCTTTTATTTCTGTACCTGACATCTCCATAAGCACAGCTGAGTTAACTCCTAGATCGACTAGAATTCTGCAGGAACATGATCCGACACACACCACACATCACCCAGACACCCCAAGACCGTACTGAGGCAAAGGAAGGTGACCGGAACACAAACACAAGTCACTTTGGCTTCCTTCTGCTTCACAGCCTCATCAGTTATTTGGACTTTTTAAAGCTCGTTAGAAACAAGACAAGGTGCACTGGTTTCATAGATGCAACCTTAACTTACTATTTAGATGAGATCTTTCTAAAGAAAAAAAAAGATGATATATTTTTTGTAAACAATATTTCTATCACAGGCATCCATAAAACTGAAAATGACTACAGTTGTGCAAACAGTGTCACAGTGAAGTGAAGCCTTTGGGAGATGAAATTTAAAAAAAAAAAAAGCAAAATGTGCAGGAAAGTACTGCTAAATGAACGCTTTCCCTCACTCCCTCCACACCCCCCAAAAAAAGTGCCACATTTGTTTTACCCTTTTTGTTCTGTCTAAAAACAAAAGACCAGAGTCCTGTCTGGAACTCAAAAGGGGCTAGCACCAGCTTTCTTTACATAAACAAAGGCACTATACTCCCCAAGGATGGGCCTGGTGGTAATAATGTCCATGAGCTGACTACTAGATTTTTCTTTCGTGGCCATAACCAGGTTGCATTAGTGGTGGTCTGTGACAATTCAGAATCCACCAGCTGATAAATCAAAGTCCCTGCCCCCATCCCCCCCCCAAAAAAATCTTCTGCAAGAGGCAATCACCAATTTGTCTATGTTTGTTTCCCTCTTTTTCATTCTTACCCTTCATTAACGTCTTCTACCAACTGATGTTCTCTGGGTTTATTTTGATTCAGAGATGAGTTCTTGGTTCTTGGCTATTTCTTTTCCCCTCTGGCATGTAACAGTTTCAACCGATTGGGAAAAAACCTTGTAAGTGGCCTTATCTTTGTTCAAATGTTAAACACAAAAGACATTTATGAAGACCTTATCCCTTTCAATACTTCAGGTATGTGGTTGTTTATTTTTTCCTTCCGGTATCCAGTAAATCACGGTATGAGCTCCACCGAGACATGGACTCCAATACTGCAAATGAATGTGGACAAAGCAGTATATGATTTATACACTTCAGAACTGTGACATTAATACTTTGTGCAAGAATGGAAGTGATTCAAACCATCTTGATGCATAGTTGAGGAATCCCAAATATCAAAGGCAGAGACCCTCCCCCTCTCCCCCATGGGGCTCAAAGTTTAGCAGTCTACTTCCCAAGGGTTTTTTTGGATATAAATTTGCATGGTATAGTCATAATAGCTTTTGAGCTTTTTATATGCATTTGGCACCAAGATTGGGATCCACAACTTTGTAGACACTGCGATGACGTTATAACATAATAGCTAAACTATAAATAGTGTTTGTAACTTACATGCACATACACAAATACACGACATATATTCTGTAAAAACAAAACAAAACAAAACACAACTTTGTAAGATCCTTGGGTATGTATTTGCTTTTTTTCCATTTCAGAAGAAAAAAAACCATTTTCTTCTAATAAAGTTATTTTCTAGCTTCTCCATTTTTAAAAGTTGTGAGAAGTGAACTCCAGCTGGGTTAATGGAGGAGAATAGAATCTGACTCTCCTCTCTGTTCCAAATAGCCTCTCGGCATTTTACAGTGGTGATACCTTAAGCCAGTGAGCAAGCTGTGCTGTGGTATTTTGAACCCAGACCTCTGACATTCATACAAGGTGGCTGTCACCCATAACCCACACTTTCTTGAGTAAGGAGAGAAATGTTTAATTCGGGATCTAATGAGATTTCTTTCTCAACAACTCAAAAGTAATAAACCGCTCATTTTCTCAGTAGTCCTGTCTTTCCCAGCATGCTTCATGGTGGATGGGAGGGGGTGCTTGGGGGGAATCTCAAAATGTACAGAACAGTCTTGTGAATCACAGTTTGTGATGACCCCCATATTCAGAAACCCCTGAAATGGTTCAAGATCCCTCCTGCCTATAAATCTTTACAGAGAAAGACTCATCAAGCTGGAGTCATCTTGAAAATAAATAGCATTCAAGACTGACTGTTTATAGAGGATTCGCTGTCTATACCATAAGACATTCATATTTTCCCCCCTGAATCTCAAGTGAACTAAGAAAGTATTGTCATGAGAAAATGTTTCACATTAGGTTTTCAGTGGCGTGTCCATCTACAGTAGCGTGTGTGTATTGTTGTTTGTTGTTTTATTATTCTTTTTTAAGGCCAGCACGGGGACTGGGAAGTCTACAGGTGCTCCCATGAAAAAGTTCTCTCCTGTCCCAAGGTGAAATGATGTTGTCACCAAGGAGACCGATCCTCTCAGAGGGTGATGCCAAACAAAGTTTGGGATTGGTTTTAAGGGAACAAGGCACATTTACAACTTTGTAGGTGTTCATGTTGGGCAGGACCCAAAGTTTTTGGAATGTTCTAGAAAGAAATATGGCCAACTTCAAATCTCCTGGCTTTGAAAGTCCTTAAACCCTTTCATCATTCCTATGTTAACCCCTGCACCTGAGAAACATCCATGTTTCTGGCCATTTCTGAACCAACTGGCGGAACATTTTGTTAACTCTTGGAATTAATGGTGGCTTTTATTCAGTGAGCCAGCCGTAAGAGTAACATTGAATCTTGGGGCAAAACAAAACCAACCTGCCCAGGTGGATTAAATTTTCCCAGGACACTAGCTAGTGTGCCTCGGGTTGATTACCTCTTCTACTGCATTGAAAGGTGCCATGTTTTCCTGAAATACTAAATTCTCATCACCTGGGTCATCAGCAGCTCACCCAGAGAGCGGCTCACACTATCAGGCCTCTCCGAGGGACACAGCCCCACGAACATGTCATTTGTGACTCATTTTTTTTCCTTCTGTATTTTACAAGTCAGTGTTTCAAGGTAAGTACAGGATTATTCTAGTAGGAATAGGCAATTGCTGTCATGACCTATACCCATGTTGATTTCATTTCATTGTAAAGATAAATTTCAACTCGGTTTTGCTTAAGCACATTGGTGTATTTTTTTGGTATTATTTGACATGAAAAAAAACAGCAAAATTGAGTGATAGATACAATATGAAACTTGTTGATGAATGAATTCAAATTTATTAAAAAAGGAGCTAACTGACTGAACTGTGGTGGCTGACTTTTGTTGTTTGTTGTTGCTCTTCCTCAGGATCAGTTGTTTACAGTGTGTGGTTATTTTTAATCTAATTATTATTGCTGCTCGTGCCTATTTGTATGGGGTTGAAAGTAAAACAAATGATCTCCAAACTACTACAGGCTAGTTGAACCATGACTTCTATTAAAAAAAATCGTAATTTAGGCTAAACTTCAAAAGTCAAGAAGACACACAGAAGTCCAATTTGTGCTTATCTTTCAAAGACTATTTTAAGGAGCATATCTATATGTCTACTCATTACCTCTGGAGAAGGTATTATCTCTCATTCTTGAGGGGTTTATTTTGCATTCTTGTGTTGTTGTTTTATTTTGTTTTCTGGTTCTGAGGCTTGAACTTGGTACCTGGGCACTGTCCCTGAGCTCCTATAGCTAACACTATACTACTTGAGCCACAGCACCACTTCTGGCTTTTATCTGTGATCAATTGGAGATGAGTCTCATGGACTTTCCTGCCCGGATTGTCTTTGAACTACAATCCTCAGCTCTCAGCCTCCTGACCTGCTAGGATTCTGGGCATGAGCCACTGGTGCCTAGCTTTCATTCTTAAGTTTTTAATGGTTAGTTCCCTGTTTCCTCTCCAGCAATAAAGTGAATAGCAATATCTAGGAATGGATAAACAAGCGAATGAATGAATAAATTCAGACCAATTGGACTTCTTGAACAAAATAACCTACATTAAAGGGAAAAACATTGCAAGCTATTTATGTGAAGAGATTTTTATCAAAGGCATTTAAGAACTCTTACAACTTTATACTGAAAAGACAAATGACCACATTTATTTATTTATTTATCTGTATATCTATACATATTTTATGCTGGTACTGTGGCTTAAACTCAGGGCCTGGGCACCGTCCCTTAGACAAGGAAGTTTGAGTTCCCCATTAAACATGAGTGAATCAGGGGCAGCAGGATGAACATTTAAAAGAAAAATCAAGTTGCAAGGCTGGGAAGTTGGCTCAGTGGTAAAGTGCTTGACTAGTATGCACGAGGCCCTGGGTTTGATTCCTCAGCACCATATAAGCAGAAAAAAGCCAGAAGTGGCGCTGTGGCTCAAGTGGTAGTGCCTTGAGCTGAAGAGCTGAGGGACAGCGCCCAGGCCCAGAGTTGAGCCCCCATGACCAACAACAACAACAAAAAATCAAGTTGCAGAAAGCTTACACAAATCAATGGAAAATCTAGAAAAGTATTTTTTTTAGGGCTGTCTCTGTTGTCACAAA